CTATATATGTTGTACACGATATATGGATACATTATCTGTCTAACGCGGAAATAATGGTTGCATTAGATTCCTTTTGAATATATAAAATGTCTGCTGATATACTAGCCGGCCATACATGCCACATTAGTTAGGTAGTTAGCTAAGTATCTTGTACAAGTATGATGATTGGGATAATTATACAGATGTACAATATTTTAGACTCACTTAGATGGATTTAGTATATATATATTTCTTGATGTAGTAGCCAGCAATACATACTTCGTGATTTATGTGGATATGATAATTAACTTATACCGATATAATAGTTGCAACATATTTATTTTTATTTTTTTCTAAACAAATATAGGTCTATGGCATATCTATTCAACAATATATACTACACAATTTAGATGGACATGCTAATCAAGACAGTCTAAGATGATGAAATATTTTTATTATCCCCAGACTTTTTAATTTTGTGGCGCGTATTATTTTATGTTTATGCACCATATTGGACGCATTATCCAGTATTTACGGTCATGATTATGGTGTATGATACATGTTTAATTGTTATATGTTGTACGACTCATACAAAAAGTAAAGTAAGAGTTCGGTTTTCATGTACAATAAAAATAATCCAACTAATTGACTTTCTGCAAAAGTTTCAAATTATAGTTTATTCATTTTATTTATGGTTGAAGACCAAACACAAAATTCACACAGTTGGATTTTGTGGAAACAAGTTCATTTCTTTCATTGTGTTTTTTCTGTTCAACTGAAGAACGTTTTGAAGGACACAAAAAATATGAAGAATATTGCAGAAAATAAAGCTAAACCGAAGACCAAATCATTTCGGAGTAAAGAAGTAATTCAAATCTAAGTTGGAAAACATATTGACCGGAAATATAATTAAAGGATTCATTTAGAGAATGACTCACTTTAAATTTTAATCAAATATAATTGGTACAAATTTTTATGATTATAAAAATAACACAATTTTTTTTTTTTTTTTTTATCTACGATATTAATATTGAATATAATTTTTAAGTTATTCAAATATATATTTTTAATTTATTCTTACTGTAATCTACATATTATTTCCTAATTCAATTTATTAACCAAATAATATTTCACTTGAAATGGTAAAATTCAATTTATAATCACAATCTCAAGCAAAAACCAATAATATTGGTGTCTAATGTATAGCCAAGGCCACGTTACTATTTTCCGGCCATAAAATCTAATACATCAGACATATTAAATGCAATGTCAACTTCAACTATCCAAAGTCAATGTCACATCAACATATGGATTAGTTTTATAAGTATATGAGTAATTGGAATAATCTCCTTTGTCTCGATTTTCTGATTGAAGTTTCATAATAAAATTACCACATTGCAGTATTTATTTTTACATTTCATGTGCAAATTACTTTTTACTTTGAAAGATTTTGATTTTAAGATTTAATTTTGAATAATAAAATTTTAAATTAAAATAATTATTCGATATAATATAAATATATATTGATATTTTTTTAAAAGAAAAAAAATTTGAATAATAAAATCAGGGTGAAAACCCTACAAATAAAGAGGCCTGTCTTACCTTCCAATTTCAAACTCAAACAACACCCCCCAAGTTGTTTCATGCTCACTTAGTCAAATCATGGTAGTGTTTATTTGACTTAGTTAGGCCATTTAATCAAAATTGACAAGATATAATAATACAATATACAATACATATTCAGACGGCACATAATACAATTTAATATTATCTCCGTTCGGCCCTAAGGGTCTTAATTATTTTTGGTGTATTGATCTTTAAATATTAATTATTATATAAAAACGTAGTACAAATTAAGGAAAAATTGCAATAATACTTCAATTAGTGTCTTATAATACTAATATGAGAACATTTGTACAAACAATTATACAAATGTAAAGATATTGTTATTGTTAAGTACAATGACGCAAAAAGTAAATGTTACCTTTAGAAGCGGCCGGAGGAAGTATAATATAATATATTATTGACTTTAGCACAAAAATACATTTATAAAAAAGACTCTACAATATATAGACTAAACAATATATACATCTAAATAGTATAATGTTATATTGTACTATATATAAACATGTGCTATTTGTTTGGTAATTAGAGTGATAGATTTAATCGAATCAGAAAAGCATTATACATTCAATTTGTGGGCGCAAGTTTAGTTAATACATCACTTGGATGATATTTAATCCAGCATCTCATTTTTATTTTAATTTTCATCGAAGCATTATAATTACCCTTTCTAGTTGTGTGTAGAACTGTTAAGGATCTGAGTCGAACCGACCCGAGCCAAATTTTAATTGTTCGTTAACGTTCACAAACAAGGCTCGAGTTCGTTCGTTAAGCTTTCGAGCTCGTTCGTAGTGTTCGAGCTCGGCTCGTTAAAAAATTTTGTTGTTTGAGCTCGTGTTCGTGTTCGGCTCGTTTAGGCTCGATTAAGCTCGTTCGAGTTCGTTTGTCTTATTTTTTAAATTTTATATATAAATTATAAAAAATTCAAAATTATTTTATTTATATATTTTAAATTAATATTTTATTTATTTATAAATTATAATTTTATATGTATATATAATATTTATAATAAATATATTATTTAAACGAACGTTCGCGAACAAAGCTCGGGCTCGTTCGTTTACCAAACGAGTCTGTTTATATTGTTCGGCTCAGCTTGTTAACATTCGCGAACGAGCTTTAACCGAGCCAAATCAAGCCGAGTTCACGAACGGCTCGATTCGTTTAACAGCTCTAGTTGTATGGTTAAGCAAACATAATACATGCTATTGTAAAATTAATATTGCATGTAAATTTTATTGCATGCTCACTTACTATTGCCCAAGATTGAGATTTTATGCAAGATTTTATAAACTATGTCTTAGTTTAAATGCTGATCGAGTCAATCAGTACCGAATTTGATATTGTTAGCATACATAACTAAAACAAACAATGAATATTCTATATAACGAAATACAATATTGGACTATACAGAAGTATGTGCTTTATAATTTATATATTGCATTGTGATATATATATATGCTTATTGTGTTAAAAATTAATAATATATTATGATGTATATTATATTATCATTTGCAGTGCATATATATGTTACATCCAATTTCACCCTGCAACATTCAAATTGAAGCGATTTTAACTAATACAATAATGAATTATGCAAAATACAAAATATATCATCCATATAAATCTATATTTAATTATTACTTTTATCTCATTATTATCTCGTCACCTGCTCTCAGCATCTAAGTCCACGTTGTATATTTTGAGTGGTAGTTTCAAATTTTGCAATTTTTATCATATACCTTTTGTATTTTCTTTTTATTTTTTTTTATTTTTGCAGTTCTTTTTATATTATTTTTTTGGAAAAATTGACAAAAATATCTTTAAAGTATACTCAATTATCATTTTTGTTTTTTTTATTTATATTGCTGTCAAAATAGATACTAAATATTTGCAAAAAGTCGCAATTTCTTTCATTTGACTGCGCATGGTCGTGCGTGAGACAGCCATTATGTGAACATTATACGTGACCAAAGGACAAAAATGAACTTTTGCAAACGTATAGGATATATGTTGTTAGCAATATGCATAAAGGACAAAAGTGATAATTGCATATACTCTTTTTGTAATTTTCTCTTATTTCTTTATTTTCTTTCTTTTTTTTTATTATTTTTTATTTTCTACCATAATTAACTATCTAGTTCAAACTTGGTTAATAATTTTAAATTTAAGATCTTCGCCGAATAATTTATATTTATAATTTTATTTTTGTTTATATATACTACTCTATTTTCTATTTTTATATATGTATATATTATTTCTTCCAAGTGTTTATGGATGTGATTATTTATATTTTTAATTTTTTCTTTTTTTATTAATAGTTAAAAAGTTATCTTATTTACGGATTAAAATTAAATTGCATAACATTTTAAAAATATTATTTAATAAATCTAAGATGTGTTTGAAAATTTATAATTTTAATATTTAAATTAATTAAAAAAATTCTGAAGTAACCTTTTAATATTTAAAATTTTAAATTATATTACAAATTAGTACTAATTTTATAAATTGTGTAGTTTTTTTTCTTAAATTTATAAATTTTATTAAGAAATTATAAAAAAATTAAGACAATACTAATAAGTGAACATAACCGTATAAAAATTGTGAAGATCACACACCTGAAGTATTAAATTTAATTTAATTATCATATGCTATTTTAAAATACATCATCATATATATATATATTTAGTTATAGAAGATACTTATAAATCGAGAAAATATAAAATAGTTTTAATAAATTTATCACAAAATTTGTGAAATTCTATAATTGTGTTTGTTTATTACAAAATCGGGTACACAAAATGCGATTTTTGAGAATGTGCATGATTTTTTTTTTTCAGCTAAATAAATATGAGACAAAAGTGATAATTGAGTATATATAGAAGATTTTTTTTTTTTGCAATTTTCCCATAAATACACCTAAGATATTTGATCTTAGCTATATCATACACTTACCCTCATCTATATCAACTTGTTGTTTGTTTGAGAGCCACTTGATTCTCATTCACGCAATCTTGCAATATATGAGGAGGAGTTTGAACAGACAGTTTTCGACCAAATCACTCTGCCTGAATGTGCATATATGTTTCATCAGATCGATGATGAATTCAGACACTGAATCCTGTTGTGTTCCCTACCCACGATGACCTGAAAACCCTTGTATTATTTAACTTAGCTTTCACAGGAATTCCAAGTAACTGTCCTAATGGAATTTTCATACATGACACTTCTATTTTGTATACCAAAGTGAGAACAACACAAATGCAGTTCCAATTTGCATTTAATGTCACCCCACATTATTGTTCAAGAATTGTCACACATGGGACCCTCATGCCCACCCCCCTTCATATATATATATATATATATATCTATTATATTCGTGTAATAAAGATCTTGAAGAGAAAAAGGTTTGGAAAGAAACCAGAAGATTCCAAATTTGCTACCAATTTCTCTTTTCTTCTTTAAAAATACAATTCTACCTATTCTGTGATTACAAGGAAATTAGGGTTTCTACAATGAAGACAAGGATGCTGATCATATCTCTGCTGCTTCTGTCAATTCTGATTCATGAAACCCAAGGTAGGGATTTAATCAAACCAATTTTCAGATGTATCATCAGCTAAAAATTTCTCAAAATAAATTCAGAATGAACACAAGTGATGTTTGCTGTCTAAGTGTATATATATATATATATGTGTGTGTGTGTGTAAAAATAATTAACATTCTATCTAATTTGTTTGACGTTGTTTTTTTACCTATGAAGGTATTCGATTGCTAAAAGATGTGATGAGGAAACCAAACACAACCCCAACATCGACCACAGTGGCTAAGGTTTGTTCCTATGCAATTTACATGGAAAATATCATTAGATAATAGGGAATTTTGAACTATATCATTTAGCAATGCTGAATATATCTTATTTCATTAATATATTATTAATTTTAGGGTAAACTGTTTTTTTAGTCTATAACTTGATCCTCTGATCATTTTAGTCGGTAAGTAGAGCATGTCGCAAATTAGTTTCATTAGTGAAAAATTTTCGTTGTTTTAGTCCTCCGGCGCCGGAGACGCCCGCGTGGCTTACCGGAGGCCACGTGTCCGCCAGGTGTCGCTGACGTGGCGGACACGTGGATTTTATTTTATTTTTTTCATTTTTTAAAAATTTATTTTTAATTTTATTAGTTTTTTTAATTTTTTTTATTTGGTCCAATTGAAAAAAATTAAAAATAAAATAAAATCCACGTGTCCGCCAGGTGCCGCTGACCTGGTCGGACACCTGGCGGATACGTGGATTCCGGCGAGCCACGCGGGCTTCTCCGGCGCCGGAGGACTAAAACAGCAAAAATTTTCACTTATGGAACTAGTTTGCGACAGATTCCACTTACGAGACTAAAATGATACTGGGTCAGTTACGGGACTAAAAAAAAACAATTTACCCTTAATTTTAACACAATAAATATATTTATAGCTTACAATATAATACATAAACTACACAAAACATTCTTCTTTATGGCTCAACATTATGCTATACTAATTAAAAACATTCACTATCCCCTACATACATATATACATATGTTCTGACTGGGGCAAATCAATACTATGCTAACCGTCGCCATATTTTCATGTCATCCATTATAGTTTATTAGATTTCTTTTGCGGTTCAACAAAATTTAATTATATTGATCGACAATATATACTGAAAATCATAATTTCGAAGATTTAACACTCTATCTGCCGATGTTTTCGTGAAAATACAACTGCGATTAGCCATGATTTTCTTACAAATTAAGATGGGACATTGTGTGTGCAGAAAGATGATGACAGAGCTGCCTCCAAATCAGATCAGGACTCTTCATCTTCATCCCCCAAGCTGAAAGCAGAAAGCAACACTACTGAGAATATCTCTGTAGAGCCGGAGAGCGAGCATACCGACGTGCTGGATATAGCCGGGATGGACTATTCTCCGGCAAGAAGAAAGCCTCCCGTACATAATTGATCAAACATATTTAATTTTTAGAAGAAACAGAAAGGAGCTAAGTATATATGATCCCAAAAGAATTAATTCAACTGTGTGCTGTTTGGGGGTGATTAATTATATCGATGATATTGTACATATATATACACCATATGGCTTAAGGGGTGGGTTCTTACACTTTTGTAGGATTTGAAAGTGATTATGTACTGCTTGCCCCCTCCTTTTTTCTTGTTGTCTTACACAGTATAATAGATTACTTTGTTCCATGGTTATTTTGAAGGTTATATGAATGATAATTGATATACATTTTAGGTAAAATTTGATGAAAAGAATTGGGCACAGAGAAAGAAAATTTAAAGATAATTCAAGAAAATAATATATTTTATCTTATCCAAATAAAACTGAAAATTTACACCTAAATAGAAACTAATTACAAAATAAACCATTAGAACCTTTGATGATTTCTAAGCAATACAATAGGTAAAATTGCAAAAAAATATCCTCTATGTATACCTCATTATCACTTTTGTGTTATATTTATTTCGCTGACAAAATATATCTCATATGTTTGCAAAAGTTGCTATTTATATCATTTGGCAGCGCGTAGCCGCGCGTGATCGCGCGTGGTGTGAACGTCACGCACGGGTAAAGGACATAAATAACAACTTTTGCAAATACGTAGAATCTATTTTATCAGCGAGATAAATACATGACAAAAGTTCCGTCCGTCTTTAAGGGTCACATTTACATTTTTCATCATTGTATTTAACATTAAAAATATCCTTATATTTATATAATTTTTTGTACAAACGTGTATCTATTAGTATTATAAGACACTAAATATTTTACAATTTTTTCTTAATTTGTACTACATATTTTGATATAAAAATTAATATTCAAAGATCGACACGCAAAAAGTAAATGAGACCCTTAGAATCGGATGGAGGTAATATAATATAATAAAAATAATTATAAGTTATTAGTTTACTAAAAGTTAAAAAAATTATAAATTATAAAATTTAAAATACAATTAAAATGTAGTAAAATACTTTTCCATAAAAAAAAATGATATAATATGTTGGACGAACAAAAATAGAAAAATGTGAGTTAATACGTCGGACAAAAGTAGTACAATATATTATATTTTCATATGATATATACAGTATTTTTATGTGTGAATTGAGACAATTAATATGGTATTAAAATTTTCTAATTAACACACTGACCGAAGGGCAACTTTAAACGCGATTTATTTGCTAAAGCATTAATAACTTTAATCATTTATTAGTTTAATTACAAAGTAAATGTTAACCGAAGCATTAACTAACTTAATTATTTAATAGTATAATTTTAAAATAAATGTTAACTGAAACATTAACTTTGTGTTTGTTAGGTGGTTTGGATTTTGAGTTGGAATTTAAATATTAAAAATTTTAAATTTGAATAATTACATGATGTGATATAAATAGGTGTTGATATGATGTTTTGAATGTAAAATTTATTTTTAGTATAATATAAAAATAAAAAATAGGTGTTTGATTTGATATTTTTGAGGAGCAAAAATGGGATGAATAGTGAAAATCTAATCCAATCCCCCAAACAAACACACTTCTTAATCGTTTTGCTAAACATTTAATATATATATATATATGCAATTTAATGATCAATAAATACTACAAGAAATTATCAATTTTGTAACGAGATTTTTTTTTTTCATAAATTCATTTTTTCCGTTACTAATGATATTAGAGACAGAATTAGAGATGAAATTACGTTAGCTACGTGAACTTTAGGAACGGAATTCCGTTACAAATATACTACTTGTTTTTATAGTGAAATATGCAATTTCACCCAAATTTGATGGACCTTACTATGGAATTACACCCAATCCAACTATTTTTAAAAAAAATAATAATAATATAATAAAAATAAATTATTATTGATAATATAAAAAAATAAAAATATTATTTTTGTATATTTATATAGTTATAATATAAATTAATTATGTTAATTGGATTAGAGTTTAAGTATTTGGACAGTGGAATTTAAATAGTTCATTATTTTATTTTATTTTTGTTTTAGATAATGATAACATTTCAAAATTTTAGATGAGAGTATTCAATTTTTTTTTAGTGGTAGCATAATTATTAAATCATAAAATTATTCTTTTAACGGAATAAAATCACTGGTGGCACGTGCCACCACTCCCTTACACCTACGTTCGCTCCTGTAGCACAACATAACATTGTGTTATATAGAAATATATATTATGTCATTTATATATTGTATTGTGCTATAAGTTTATTTTACTGAAATAAATAATATATTATTTTATATACAATTATAATATGTGATGTAAGAACATGTGATGTTTATTGTATTACTATGGTGTCACACATGTTTTGTCTATTTTTATTAAATGTGCTAATTTAATCAAATAAACATCATATTGAATTGGCTCAGTCAATATGAATATCGGACGTAATTATATGTATTCTACTTCGATTATAATGTTGATCAGGTTAAATGAATATGTTGTTAATTTGATATAAATCAACATATGTATATAAGACATACATCATATATAATAATACATAATAATACAATATATATTTTTAACAATATATGATATATTTATATAGCATATTATATTATTGATTTCAAGACTATAAGAATATTTATACAATACCGTACAATATATAAATTGCACAATATATATTTTTATATAACACAATTTTGTATTTTATTATATAAAGATATGCACTAAATATCAATATAATAAAAACAATATCAATATTATATCAATTAAAATACTCCATCCAAAATATAAATATCAAACAAAATAGACTTAGATATTTTAATAGTATTTTTAAAAATATTACAATATAAATATAAAAAATATATATAATATCATGTTATTAATTATTACAATATTAAATCTTATTTTACTATTTTTTTCTATTCAAGGTACATACATATATATAATAAAACTTGTAATTGTATGTTTGCAAAATTTTATTTACAATTATAAATAACAATAATATTTTAAGGCTATTTACTATTTCTTATAAATAATATGATATATTCTTTCCGTTTCATATTTGCAAAATTATAAATAAAAATAATATTTTAAGACTATTTACTATTTCTTATAACTAATATGATATACTCTTTCTGTTTTATATATTTTATCCATATTGTAGATATACAAATTTAGGTAAATTATAATTAAAAAGTAATTAAAAAGTGTATTAGTAAAAATAATTATTGTATAACAAAAAAATTTTGAATTAATATTAAGATGATTAAATAGTTTAATTAAGATTAGAAAAATTATAAATTATAAATTTAAAATGTGATTAAAGTATCTAATTACATTTTTTTTAAAAAAAAAAAAGATAAATTAGGTGAGACGGATAAAAATAAAAAAAATAGATATTTTATATAGAACGGAAAGTAATATATACTTTAATCACCATTTAAAAACAAAACAAATTATGTGAGACGGATAAAATAAAAAAAATAGACATTTTATATAGAAGGAAAGTAATATATATTAATTAGTATAAATATTTTCTATATATATTATATATAATTTAATTTTTACTTTTAAGCCTAACATATAGTATATAATATTATATAATTTTATGTTACATACAGATATAGGTTTTTATTGATGTATTTTTTTTTTTTTATAATTATCAAGAAAAAAAAAATGTATATATAAATTATATAATAGTTTGCACATAATGAAGAAAAAATCAGCCGAAATAAACAGGCGCATTACACTACTTACACAGACGTGTGTATATATATATATATATATATATTACTATTTGCTCGTATTTATTTTGTAATACTTACTTTTATATAATGAAAATAATCAGGTCAAGAAAATGCGAAGTAATATATAAAAATAAAGAATACTCGTTTATATATATAAAGTTAAGATTAGTATTATTTGAAAGTATATATTTACTTTTCGTTCGAAGATTAAATATAATAGTAATTTAATTATACTGGGTAGTTAAAAAATAATATAAACACAAATTTTGTCCTTATTTTTTTTTTTTTAAGTAAAAATAATGATGTGATGGTAAAATACAAAATAAATATATATATATTTTGAGAGTGGATGTAATGAGTAAAATAATGTTGGACAAAGGGGTACTATTTATTGTATACTAAGTTTGATGTGTCTATATATTGTTTAATATTCTTGAATTTAATAATTACTTATTGTATTTTTTTATTTATTGGGACTGTGCCTCAAATTCTCTTTAAACAATTGAAAATTTTTTGTAGCTTTAGTCATGGGCATGACTAAGCATACTTTTCTGTTCTAGAATTGATATTGTATATTTTACCAAATCAGAAGAATCGGGAGGCTTTAATCACGGGCTTGACCAAGATAGCAATGTTAACTTGACATCAAATTTACAGAGTTATGGACGTGATGAATGAGTGATTTACCAAAATTTCATATCTCCATCGTTCCATATATTGTTGATTGCTATCGATTTGAGTTACCTTTAATATTAGAAGGTTAAAACTTCCCATTTTGCAATGATATTGATGGGGCGACATTTTTGGGGTGTGAGAAAAGTTAATCATTCGATTTATAACGTTGTAAACATTCGATTCATCTAGTAGATTAATCACCATCCGTGGTTTTTCCGGTTTTGGGTTTTTACGTAAATCTTGTGTTCTTTTCGTATTTTGCGATCTTTTGTTTGTGCTTCAATTGTGTTTCGATCTCCTTCCTTAATTTAATCGCACCTTTAGGTGCATAAATCCCTAAAAAGTGGTATCAGAACCCTAAGTCTCGAGTTCGAGTCCCACCGTCCCCACTAACATCAAATGCATGTGCAAGTTTCGCATACCTTCACTTGCACTCGAGGGGGCGTGTTGGGGACTCTCATTTGCGGATAAATATATTAATAATGTGTTTCACTAATAGCTTGAACTTTTAGGTGAGACGATCATTCTGCGCATCTGATATCGTATCAAAGCCATTGTGTCCAATATAAAGTATTGAATATTAATCTTGTATGGATATTCGAGATTATCATTTTGAGGGGGCGTGTTGAATATTGTCTCAAAATGAATATGATGTGGAAAGTCCCTTGACTTATACGGGTGAAGGGCCAATCCACCTATTACCAATTGAGTTTAGGTTGGAAGCCTGGATCACTTCTTAAGATAACATGTCTTATATTATTAAGTTGAAACCGCAGCTTAGCAATGAGTTTGATATGAAAGAGCTATGCGC